AAACAAGTTTGATTGCTTATAAACAAATGTAACACATGAAGGTATTTTACTACTGGAATGCACCAAAGTCGACATATAGTAAGTACAACTTTGGAGTACATGTCAAATGGTATTCCATGAAAAACATTGATTCCAAGGATCATCATAAAATTCAGCATTCATCAAGACTATACTCAGAAGTTAAAGTTCATACACATATTCCCAGGTCACTTGCTCAACCTTTTGTAACACCTGAACCAAGAGTTGAAATTTCAGTAAATTCCATTACTGCTGAATTAAACTTAATGAGCCAACTGGCTAGCAATACCCAAAAAGAGGGGCATCAGTGCAACCACCTTTTCTTTGATTTCGCCAAAGGATTGTATAGCGGAAGAAAACACATGGGAAGAGGAATGGAACACTAGACATGTTTTCTTTTGGTCTTTGACATAGATCGCTTGGAGCAAGGCAATGACTGACACCAGCCATGCCACTGAAACTTGAATACTTCAACTAAATCCTATCAGTCTGATGAAGTCAAGCAATTTAGACCAAGTTTAATTGAATCAAATTATCTCTGTTCTTCCTAAGAGCTAAATGGTACAAACGGATAAAAGAAACTAACCCTGAAACAGTTATTAAGCACAACAACTGGGCACTTTTTTGCTGATCTATACTGATCTATCAATTCCAGTTAAGGGAAAACAAATTGTTGCTAGCCAGGGAAAACAAATTTTAAATGATTAAAATACCTTTTGTGCGATGAAGAAGTAAAGCTTTCAGGACAACCTGAAGTTTCCTACATCCACTGCTTGTATTTCTAGATATTGGATATTTTATAGAAGCACAGAAGGAACTATAGACAGATTAAGGGTCATACTTCAGGAAGCGGAAATAACTGTAAAGATCATCAATTGCATTCTGCATGGGTGTTCCTGATAAGCACCATCTTCTTTTGGCTCGAAGACCACAGCAGGCTCTAGCCACTTGAGTTCTGTGATTCTTTATGGTTTGAGCTTCATCTAATATTACTCTAAACCACCTGACTCTAGCAAGAGGGCCGCTGCCAACATCGAGATGTGAATCTTTCGATCTTTTCCCTCTTTTCTTCACCTTGTTCTGTACACTGGAAGTCTGCCTCCTTTTTTTGTTGGATGAGAACTCTGAAGATAACTCTAGTCTGATGCCATAAATGGTCCATCACGACATCCTACCGAATGACTATGGGTCGGGTTGACTTGCGTTTGGCCTCCTCAGTCTCAAGTTAACCCAATCCCTGGTTGAGGCGTGACACTTAAGGAACTTTGGATGCTTGTTTAAAGATCCAAAAAAAAGTCAAAATGTGATTTTGTTAATTCTTAAAACTCCTTTTTTTTTTCTTTTTCTTAAGCTCACTGAGATGTGTCAGATTTTTATTTGAACTTGCACAAAGTATCAAGATTCATGTTTGCCCTTGCAACATTGATAATTTCCTACGTATGTTGAAATATTCTGAGTTTTGTGTAGACTACTTTGGGGGGGTATATACAACACCTATGTTGTTATGGGATATTTCGAAACTTGACGTGGATACAGATAGATGAAACTACTGCTTTTCTGCCATCTTTCTGTGGAACTTATTTTTGGCTGATATTTTTTAGCTGCAGATGAATGAGGTGTTGGATGTTTCTCGTTGATTCATTCGGTAAATGAACGATGGATGCGCAAAAATTTGTTCTCTTATCTTATGGATCTGACTCAAAAAAGTATTCCTGGAGCTGTCTCTTCTCTCTGCTGATGCCCTCTTCTGCTCATACCAATCGTCGTCATGTCGTCTGCTCTTTGCTCGAATCGTGTTAGCTGATCCTTATCTGCCACGGTTATGAGATCTCTCGTGATGTGTAATCTGTACAGGACTTTGGCTGTGTAATGTGAACTTGTTTTACGTCCAAAAACTTTAAACGTCACCGTTACCATAAGAACGAACACAAGTTTGCCAAGGATCTAAGCTTCTCTTTGACGGAAGTCCGAAGGTTCATCGGGAATGCTACCGGAACTAGCCGAGAATGAGTTGGGAGCTTGCCGAAGGATTTTCGGAAGCTCGCCGGAAGGTTCGTTGGAAGTTCGCGGAGCTCGCCGAGAAATATCGGAGCTTGCCGAAGAAGCTCGTTGGAACTCGCTAAGATCAAATCGTGAAGTCTAGGAGCTTGCCAGGAGTCCGCAGAATGGTTTCCGAGAGTTCATCGAAAGACCGCCGGAAGTTTGCCGAAAGCTCGCTAGAAGAAGTCTTGACTTGCGGACTTTGTAATAGGTTAGAAAATATCTTTAAAATCATAGTTAGCACATTAAAGCTGGAGCTCGCATTCCAAGCAGGTGAAGCCTCCATTTGCTTTCACTCTCTTCTCCAACCCAATCAATAAATCGAACTAGTCGAGAAACCGGAAGAACCCAGACCGATTGGTTCTGTCTCTCCACATTTAACTTGCTCTCTCGCTATATATATACATATACATAAAGCAGAAGCAAAGCCCCGCGGAAAGGTCGTCGTCACTTTGATCCGCCTTTTGGTCTTCTCTCATGGCGTCGGAGTCATGGTTGGTGGAGAGGGCGAGGGAGGAGCTTCAAAAACTGGAATCTCTGCATCCCACCCGATTCAAGTATCTCAAGCTCGAGCTCAAGTCCCTCATCTCCCAACCCCACTCCTACGTTGTTGCTGTTGACGAGGATAGCTCAAGGCCTCCTCCTACCACTTCTCCTGCTCCCACGCAAGGTTTCTTGCCCTTTCTCTCGGAGATATATATATATATATATATATATATATATATATATAT